TGTACCATGATATTAAGATATTAGTGTTTAGGGACAATTGACTATTTTTCTATGGGAATTTAATTTCTATGGGAATTAAAGTATGCACTTGAGAAAACTCAACTTTTTATGGGGAAAAACACAACAGCAGTATTTGGACAGACTGCCAAAACTATGCTATATTTAGCATGGAGCAAAAAGAACAAATCCAGCATCCAGCACATGCAGTTTCCTAATATTTATTCCCCATTTCTACTTAGCAAATATCAGATTATAGATTCAACATTTATAAAAAAACTTGTCTCAAAAGAGTTGCCCAGATGAAAAATCAAGTACATTGCTGCGAAAACATCATTTGGTTGATTTGATTTTAAAAATAATTTTTTAAACCAAAGCTTCACTTGTGGACCTCACACAACACATGTACACTCTTGGTGGTCAGAGAAACATCAATTAGTGGGAATCACCAGATTTTTGAAAATACGTAGCATATCTCTTGCTCACTGGAGGAGTTTTCTGCAAATACATATATTGTCATGGAAACAAATGACTTTTTGTGGATTCATCCACTACAATCTAAATGTAAGTTTACTGGTTAAATAAATACCCTGATGAAACTGGAGTAGACTCTTTTTTTCTTTGAAATTCCTCATTTTTCAAATCTCTCTCAAGAAAGAGTAGAAAGGAAAAGACACAAGAAACATACATAATTTACCAGGCCCCTTCTTCTAAGGGTTCAAATATTGACGATATTTTAAAATGTGGCATTTGAAGTGCATTGTGAAAAGTAAAGATAGCACTGCATGAAGAAATCAATAATTTTATAATTTCAACTGTTAACTCAGGCTCTGATAGTCAAGCAGTTCTTTTTAACAAGAGTTTTTCATCCACATGTAGGTCTTCACTGACACCATTATACCTCTGTTCTCTTCAGATTATTTCTCTCCAGCCCCATGCTGTAATGTCAGTGTTTCTAGGATCTTACAGAGAAGTTCTAAGCATTTTCGATTTTGCAGATCATTAACGATTTCCAGTAAAGGTATATCATCTACATAGGATTTTTATCTAATATGAATAGCTTAGATTTTCTTAAGACTGTGGACAAACTGAATGTCAAGAACACTTGAGATTGTTTAAGCAGCCTTCCATCTTTGACTCTTTTTTCCTTCCTTTGAACTCCACATCCACATTTTGCTACTTCCAATGCTTGTGTGAGTTGAGCAGAATCCAGGAAATGAGCTGTCTGAAAAACAGGGAAGAGGAAGGTACTAGGAAAGGCTATTTTTCAGGGGATCAGTTTTGCAGTTCACCTTCCAGCTGCACAACCAACCACGCCAGCTGACTGCAGTGAGGGTCAATGTATTGAAGCGGGGGAGCAGGAGGTGGCAGAGGCTGCTGAACCAAGCAGTGCTGCCACTAGACAAGCCACAGTACCTTTTGCAGACTCCCAGTAAATTAGTCTACTTAATTTGATGGGGCAATATTTTGGTGACTTACAATCTTTGTTACATAATGTGCTCAGTAATTACTCAGTAGGAGAACAGCACTCAGTCTACTTTTCCCCAAGCTGCATGGATTCCAGGAGACAACAAGGCAGTAAAACTCTTATTGCTGGTAGAAGGACAAATATTTTGAGCAAAAATTTATGGCAGATTCATCCATTTAGAAAGGGCTGTTTTTACAGTCATTCTTTAGAAAGACGTTTACTTTTAAAAAGACCCAAATATTCATAAATACTACTGGTAAAAATAGAGCCATGTTATACTTACATCGGACATTCAATATGTCAATGACACTTCTTTCCTCAAACACCTGCTAGTACAGTTCCCTCCCAGCAAAAATGCTGAAAGTAACATCTGCAGACAAAGCCTAACTATTCCTAGAGATACAAACTTGTGACTTTTTAAAAGTCAACAACTTCATTCTGTTAATCACCCTCTTGTTGTTTCTGTTGTGCAGATCTGTGTATCTGCTTCTCCTGGGACGGAACAAAGAGCCATTGCCATTTCATTCTATCAATTCTCCAGATGTTTGTATAAATTTAAAAAGAAGTAGTGAATTCTTAATTATAACACCATACATATGCTCAACATGACATGTTGATATCATTAGTTTGAAAATGCTGAAAAACACTCAGAACTCTAACTTCCAATGAGCATAAACTATTGATACGATCCCAATTATTAATTAGCTTATAAGGAATCGTAAGTTCACTGATGTAATGGCGCCTTGTTAGTCTGTACTGGGACAGTGATCTACCTGTTTCAGAACCATCCATTTTAATTAATTTGCTGTTTGCACTATCCAAACATATTACAAATAAAATAGAAAACAGAATGTATGATGAAAAGATATGACAGACTGATGAGACACTGTTCGCAGTCCTCATGCTTATCCAACAGCAGTGCTCGTAATATGAAGAAGCTACAGCCAGTAGCTGATTGAAGAGGGATGAATTATGAGATACAATCTAAGACACCAGTTTTCTTTCAGCCAATGGATTTATTGTCATAATTGATTATAACCATGTACAGCATCTATGCATCTCCCATTGGAAGAATATCCAGTGATAGAGCTAACGTTAGTGTGATACACAGCTTTACTCAACAATCCCACTGCATTTCTAACAACAAACAGTGGTGTACTCCACAGTCATAAATGGCTAAAAACATCCAGACGTACAAAAGAACGGAAATTTAATATTCTTAACAAAAGAAAATGAAACCTGATCCCACATTCCTTCAGTTTTAATTCCATTCAACATTGTGTCTATAGCAGTGATGAATTTTAATCTATACACTGACAACTGTTTGGTCCCTGATATTCCTGAAAACTACAGCCTGTCAAAACGAAGTCTCGAAGGACTTCTTGCTACTGACCAAAGAAACAAGACTTTGATTTTTTTTCTCTATTTAAAGGACAAAGATTAAGGCAAATGATCTCTCTCCCTCAGAATATAAAGTGTTTTCTCTCCATTCTGTCACTGAACTCCAATTGAAGGTACCAGTTACTATGGTATCTTTTGTAAACACTTGTTCAGCCGAAAAAAAAAAAAAAAAGGGGGAGAAAAAAAAAGAAAAAACCCCAAATTGCTTACTTGCAATTACGGTAATAAACAACTTGTAGTCACGAACACCTCGGGTCAGCAATGAATGCATCATATTGAGACAAAATGTCTCCATAGTACACTAACACTTCCTTCAAGCCATTCAGTTCCACAAGAGTTCATCTGAGGTTGCACATTAAATTCAAAGGAGCAGAAGCAGTATCAATGGTCTCAACAATTTACCAAATTCCATCTAAAACATTTGCATTTAAATTGCAACTCTGGTTTGGACTTCTTTAACTAGCTCATTTCTAGACCACACAGAGAGAGTTATTAATGTAAACTAAACCACCATATTTCCTAGTAACAGAACCACATTCTGTAAATATTTAGGAAAGTCTGAGAAGTAGAGAGCAACTGACCATAAAATGATTAGCACTGTTCTGAAACCAAAAGCAAAATTCTAATTTAAAAAAACCCACAACAACCAACAAACCAAAACAACTCAAACATAATATACTACTGCATAAGAGTTTAACTTCAGTATTTCTCACTCAGCTACACAAAATACAGAATCTAGATTAATATACAAAAACGTTTATTTCACAGTGAGGTACATAAAGCTTCTAACTTTAGTAGGCTAAGAGAGAACAGCCTGTTATGACGAAGATCGTCTCATATTCCTGAAATATTCTCACCTATTACTGTTTCTGAAGAAAGGCACCAATTATTATTTATCCATCAACAGTTCACCTCTGCATCTGCCCATTTAGAAATGAAGATGGATTATGTGAGGGTCAGTGGTCTACTGACCATCATGGACCCAGACAACTACAGCACAAGTACCAAGCAGTATTTATTCAAAAACAATTTAAAAATAGCTCATTTGTAAACACATTACAAAAATATGTTAGTTTTTCTTAGTGGTGTCAGCAATATATTCCTGTAGAACTAACTAGTTGCATTATTATTTCTCGTTTACAAAAAAAAAAAAAAAAGAAAACCCAGTTGTGCACATTAAATAGCCTCACATTCGGTTTGAGTTGAAACGGCGCAGCCTTCAAACTGTCCAGTGAAAAAATAATTTCCAGCCCTCCAGTGACTCTCTGGTTGCACACAGTTCAATTAAAAGACTGGTCCAAATTTTTGTTAGGAAGAACTGGTGCCTTGGAAAGACCTGGTCAAAGCTTTCTCACACAGGGCCAGGCTGCTCACTGTAACGTGTTCCCAACTGCAGTTGGAGAAAACCACCTGTAAAACAGCACACAAATTAACGGCTCTGAATTTGCTTAAGGGAGGCACTGCTTGCTGTTGGCAGTAGCTCCCGCCGCTTTGCTCCTTGTGGCAAGGCACAGTTACCGCCTGTCAGGGCTTTTCCTTGGGTTAGTGATGATTCCTGAAAAAACAGTGACATTCCAGCAGAGGCAACCCCATCTCACAGGCCACCTCAGCCCCGGTCTGCAGTAAGGGCAGCTGAACACAGCCATGCGCTGCAGCTCTGCCCCTCGGAGGCCACGACCCCGGGGCCCGCACCATCCCCTCAGAGACCGACGTCCACCTTCCCTCGCAGCGCCGACCGCAGCTCCCGGCCGGCCCGGGGGTTCTTCGGCGGGCTCAGTCGTTTTGAAAGCGTTCTGCAGCACGTGTTCTCAACCATGCGGCTAGCCCCGCTGGTCATTGACAGCGCTCGCAGGGATTCGTGAGTCGGCCTCGCTGAGGGCACAGGCAGGCAGGCCACGGGGCGGGGCGGGTGGGACTGGAGCCCGAGATGTCGGGCAGAGCGCCGGTTGCCATGGAGCGGTGTGGGCTTCGGCGAGTGCAGTTAAAGCTGGCCTCCGTGGACCGGGGCTGGCCTTCGACGCCGACGCCCCAGCCACATCTGGTTGAGCAGCGCCAGCGGGCGGACCGGCGGCCAAGCCGGTCCCAGCAGCAGCAGCGCGTTCCCGCCAGCGAGCCCGCGTTGAGCAAGCTGCTGTCAAGCCGCGGGGCCCAGCCTGCCGCCGCGCGGAGCCGCCCTCGGCAGGGTGACCAGCCGCGCGCAGTGGATCCGCGTGCCGGTGCCACCGGGCACACGCGGCCACCAGGGATGCCCTCGACCAGACCAGGTAGGGGGTGTCCGGGTGGAGCTCCTGCAGTGTGGGCCGCCGGCTCCCCCTGCTCTGGCAGGTACACAAAGCGCTGGAACTTGACAGCGGCGCCGAAGCGGTCAAAGAGGAGACGGAATCGTGCCGGCCCAAGCAGGCGGGGGCTGCGGTGTGGCCGCACGGCCCAGCGCACTGTCACCCAGCTGGAGCCAACGGCCTCCACCGACAGGTTGTGGAGGAACAGCTTGTTGAAGTCGCATGGGTCGGACACCAGCGGCGGGATCCCAGCAGCACTGGCCCGACGGGGCCACGCCGCGCTGGGCAGTGGTGGCGGCGTGGGGCTGGCAGCAATGGGTGCGCCCATTAGGCGGGCAGTGGAGGCGGCTGGCGGTGGCCCTGGGGGCAGTCCCACAGCGCTGCTGTTGCCGCCGAGCCCCTCAGGAGTGCAGGGAGGGAGAGTCGCCAATCGGGGCAGAGCCAACCATCCTGTGGTGGCAGCAGCTGCATCCTGCAGGTAGTCAAAGGTACTTTGCCAGCCAGGTGGACGGCAGGGGCACTGCACGAAGACGTGACAGGCGGCCCTGGGAAGTGCCAGGCGCCAGCCAGTGCTTGAGGCTGCGAAGGCGGCAGTCACAGCTCCAGGCATTCCCCTCCAGCTCCAGGCGGTAGAGGGCCAGGCTGGAGGCAAAGAGCTCACCAGGGAGCGTCGCCAGCGCATTGTCCCGAAGGCTGAGCTCCCGCAAGCGACCAAGGTGGCTGAAGGCAGCTGGATGAAGGGTGGTCAGTGCATTGCGGCTCAGATCCAGTGCCTCTAGGTTGCCTAGAGGCTCCAGCAGGGAAACAGGCAGGTGGCTTAGCAGGTTCCCCTCCAGGCGCAGCTCCTTCAGTGAGCCCAGCCCTGTGAAGGCATCCGGGGCCAGGTGAGATAGTCGGTTGCCACTGAGTGAGAGCTTCGCCAAGCCAGGCAGGTACTGGAAGAGCCCTCCTGTCAGCTGCCGTAGGCTGTTGCTGGCCAGCAGCAGGGTGTGGAGGGAGCGCAGCGGTCCAAAGATGTCTGGGTGGCGAAGGGAGCTCTGCTGGTTCCCCGAGAGGTCGAGAAAGCGCAACTTGGCCAGTCCAGTGAAGGCACCACGGCTCAGCCAGCGGATGCGGTTGGACTCCAGGTGCAGGTAGAGTAAGTTTGGCAGCCCTGAGAAAGTAGAGTCGCCTAGCGAGCCCAACTCATTGCCATCCAGTCGCAGCTTGACAAGACTGCTGAGGCCGGAAAAGGAGGCAGCGCTGAGGCGGCCGATCTCGTTGGCATTCACGTAGAGGATGCGCAGCTTGGCCAAGGTGCTGAGTGTGCCAGGGGCCAGCGCAGGCAGCAGGTTGTTGCCCAGATAAAGCTCCTCCAGCCGGTCCAGGCGCTCAAAGGCCTTGGGGTGCAGTGAGCGGATCCGGTTGTATTGCAGGTCCAGGCGCTGGAGCCCTGCCAGGCGGTGGAAGTCGAAGGCAGAGATGTTGACAATGAAGTTGCCCCCGAGGCTGTAGGTGAGGATATCCTTCGGCTCGGCAGCCTTGGGCACGGAGCGCAGGCCCCGGTTGGTGCAGAGGAGGTGCTGGTGCTGCTGGCAATCGCATGGCTCGGGACAGATGGTCTCGGCCGCGGGCAGCAGCAGGAGGATGAGGGTGACGGAGCCCCAGAGTACCCGCGGCAGCACCATCAGGCGGACCCGGCGCGGCACTCATCCCGGGACGGAGACGTGGGCTTGCTTCCCCCGCGGGCTTTGTGGTCTATCCGGCATCCCCTCCCGCCTCCTCCGCGACTGCTAATGGCCCCTCCTCTCGCTCCGCGCCGGGCTTGGAGCTCCGCGCCGGCAGGCAGGCGCGGCGGCGGCTGCAGGTCGCGGTGTCCGGCACCATGGGCTGCCCAGCGTCTGGGTTAGGTGCGGCCGGGAGCGCTTGCCCGCCCGGGCTCTGCGCCCTGGCGGCCCGGCGGTGGCGGGTCGGCGGTGGCGGGGGCCGGCGCTTGCCGCGGGGCGGGCGGGATTGCGGAGCGGAGTGGCTGCTTCCGCCCGGCACTGTCTAGGGTGGAGGGGGCGGGCCGCCTGGGGAGAACGGAGGGGGGCAGGCGCGGAGCGGGGAGAGGGAGAAAGACGAGCTCCGAAAGTTGCCGAGAAAACTCAGCGGAAATTCGTACTTCCCACACTGTGCCCTGGGGGACCGGAGGATCGGATGGAGCGGCGGAGAGGGAGGACGGCGCGGCGGGGGGGCGGGGGGAGGAAGCCCGCGGCCAGTCCTGGCTCGGTTCAGCCCCGGCAGCGAACAGGGGCGCAAAGTGGGAAAGAAGGAATTGGAACCGGCTGTGGCTGCCTCCCAGCCACATGGGTTACAGAGAGAGTTGCGCATCGGGGAGGGGGAAGGGAACAGAAGTAAACTAATCGTCGTCGTCCCCTTTTTTTCCCCTCTTCTGTTTAGAAACCTGCCAAAAGCAACAGTTACGGTTTACCAGGGATTTAGGACTTTCTATTGTGTTGAGCAAACAGCAATCAGAGGACTAAGCTAGTTATAGTACATCAGAATGAATTTTCATTCTTTCTCCTCAGCGTCCTGCTCAGTAGGTTCCCGACAAAGCTGCCAATGAGGATGCAGTTGAATATGGCTGCAGCTCCATGAGGGGCTCGTCAGAGTGATCCCGATGCTCTTCAGAAATAATTCCCAGTTTTAAAGAGTCTTCTTTCTCAACAGCAAAAAAATTTAGAGGGAAAAGAAGGTATTGGAAAGCATATTGAAAACGAAGCAGACTAGGTACCCATCCGTTCAATGACTTTCCTTTCCTGTTGGCATTTTTTGTTTTCCTAAGATGTTGCCAATTGAATAAATGTCTAAGGGCAGGAGAAAATGCCTAGATAGGTAGGTATATAAGACAGTCAAGGATGATGAGGGAAAGAAGGTAATGACCAAAATACCATGTTGAAAATTTAATAAATATGTTGGAAATTGTTTTCACTTGAAGTTGTATGCAACTGTATACTCTTCTCATACAGTTCTGGACTAAAACTGTGTACAAACCATGCTTCTTTCTCTTAGCAGAAAGGAGAATTTAGATAACCTTCATAGAAATTTTGTTCGAGTGGCAATGCCAATGTGAACAGGTAGCATGGTGTGTTAGTTTGTGCTAAGTCCCTGTTATCTGCTTTCATGGTACTTTGATCTAACTGATTTGGTCCTGAAGGAACCTTGAAGAGAAGGGATATGGCTTGATTTGGTCAACATAACATCACTATGAACATCTCAATTCCTATCTCTTGTAGTTATCTGAGGATGAACCTTATGAAGAATAATCTTTTTGTAGTGCTAACTGCCTTGTGCTGGCGTGAGAAGTAATGTTTGGGGCAGCAGAGTGATATTTTAGATAATCTGGATGAAATTTGCAAATATCTTCAAAAATCAAGTGAACAGCTCATTGGGAAAATCCAGTCTGAACAATAATATGCTGTAATATGGTTATGACAAGGAAAGCTAGGAGGGTCTTTGGGTTTGGGTGGATTTTGTTTTTGTGAGATCTTTTTTGGTGAAAAATGGCTTTTGCATAGGCGGTCTTTATAAATTAAAATTAAAATGAGAAATTTTGAAGCAAAAATAGTGGAAATCAGGGTTGTCAGAGTCCAGAACTTGATGACTTCTGCAGACATGCACTATCTTGTCATCAAACAAGAATATTTTTAGATTACCTTGCTTTAAATTTATGTCCTAAATTGTTGCTGCCTTGTTTTCTGAGTGTGGACAGAAGCTTATTTGCTGCTTTAGTGAAGTGGAAAGTTTCTGGTTTAACTATTTGTAACTGCTATATTTTGAACAGTACATACTTGATTAGTAAATTTTTTTTTCCCCTGAAATAAGTTTGAGTAAGTTTCACAGAAGGAACTTTTTTGCTAGTCTTTTTTATTCATTTTCCAGGTTCCTGAAGAAACCCATCTAGCATTTGTTCATGATTCAAGTATCCATGGGTTAAGAATCTAGACCTTTTAGCTTAGTCTTTTCCTTACTGACTATTTTTTCACATACCAGCTTTCCAGTATCTATCACATCAAATCTAATATTCAGGACGAAGTATAGATATTTTTTCTACTGCAAAGATTGCATGTTTCTTTCCTCATTTTCAAAGCCACTATGGTTCAAGGAAAGACATCCTGACTGAAAGTTTTCTTTAATTCTGAGCAAAGCCTGAGTGACTAGTGACAAATTTACTTCACTGTATTGTACTTTAAATAGTGGAATTTTAGAAAACCATGCTGTATAATGGTATGCTTATTTTCTATTCCTTTGGGTTTTTCTTCGAAACATGGTTAAGCCTATAAGGGCAATTTATGAACTGTCCTTCCTGTAGAAGCACCATAGATCTTTTTCTAGCCATATGTCATAACAAATACTAAAAGTTTAAGTCAAGTTTTGTCTTGTGTATTGCTTTTGATTTATGCTTTCTGAAACTTAGCCAGTATGATTATTTTCATTGGGTTTGGGGAATTATAAGTGGCAAGAATTTAATAAAAAAATTTAACTAGTGATTCTTAAGAAGAGAATTCATCAGATATTTGTTCTCACATTGGAAATATTTTATACCAGAAACAAAATAAACTGATACAATGGGAGTTTTGCTGATACTTTTTTTTTAATTCAAGTAGGAAGTTATTATTCAAAACAATTAGAAACACAACTGTTGAGATGAAGGGTGCCACATTTGTTTTCCTACTTTGGAAGAAGAACTTTCCCACTACTGTAGTTCTTGTTTCCTTATTCAAGCACACAATAAAATTTTTAATGCATGATTGAGAAATAGTAATCTTTTTTACCCCAACCTGAAAAAGCATAAATCCATCTATGAAATACTGGACAGAGGGGGAATTAAAAAGTAACCTATTCTTATAAGCTTTAAAGGTTATCTTAAAACATACCTTTATGGTTAAGATTTAAAGATTGAGGACTTTGAAGGGCCAAGAAAAAAGCAAGATCAGAAATACCGTCTTTCCACTGATATATATCTATTCCTATGACAATTATGAGGGAACTGACCTTAAATAAGGCATTATTTCATGGCTAAATGGTATCCATATGTTTGTTATACCTAATACCAAACACCTCTGATTTTCTGGTTTTAGGTGTTTTTTTCAAGAGATGTTATCTAGGTACTGGTCAGGGGACTGGTGGTTGAAAGTGAACACATATTTGTAGGTAGAATGCGAAATGGAGTGAAAGAAGCTGCATGTTCAATGTAGCCTATCCCAGCATATACTGTGTCTGTGGCAATGTCCACATGAGAAACTTCCATTAAATAAAATTAATCTTTCTTGATTCCAGATTAAGAGAAATGGAGCTGATCTGGTAAGTTTGAGTGCTGATATCTCATAGCTTTATGTAGTTGCCAGGAATGGTAACTAGTTATGTGGAACTGGAGCTTAATTTCTAAAAAGGAGTCTTTGATTGGTCTATACAATTTTTTCTGCCCACTGCAGATCACAAATATTTTGATCTGAACTTGTAAAAATGTTTCTAGAAGTGTTAACTTTGAACTTTCTCACTGAGCCAACTGGCTTCATAGAAACTTTATTCGACCTTAGTGCCAGAATTCCCATTTAAAACAATAAAAACTTTCTGTAAGTTGATATATCAATGTGTTGAGTTGATTACAGTATAAAAACCTAATTTGAAGTTATTTGACTCACAATGTCATAGGAAGTTGTCATATACAACCTTATGAGTCATATAAAGCACAAAGAGAAACAGAAAGATACTGCATAATTCGTGTTTTCTACCTGATAAAGTGTCACTGTATGAATTTTTTTTCTTTGAAATTGCACAAAGAGTTCACCAATATTGTGGAATTTATGTTGGTTGCAGTTACTGTAGTAATTAAAATTTTAAATAAACTTTTTCCTGATACCATGGTTTGTGCATAATGAAATGTCACTTGCCACATCCTGTTCTTCAGGAATAAAGCATGACTCTCAGGCCAGCAGTTAATATTACATGCCTGTTAAGCTCCACAGGACAAAATTTATCAGATGTTTAATAGATATCTAGTCCTATCATCCATAGAGGTCTGTGGCCTACAACACTCTGCTACAAATATCTCTCAGTCTTTTCAGAATTAAACATCTGAGTAAAGTATTTGTGGTTTTTTGACATATGATGGTAGTCTAGACGTGCTTTTACCGTTGTGTGCTGCTTTGTCAGCAATCAAACCCCACTGAATTTCATATAGTGTACAATACGCCTCTTAGACTTCCTCTGGGCAGGCAGTTGCAGGACTTCATATTGATTACAGCAATTGTTTCCTTTGTGCATATTAGTTTACTGCCCAAGCAATTTCTGATCTATTTTTTGGAGTTTCCCTGCCTAGACTGCATGAAACCAATTGTAGCTATATTCACAGGTAACACTGTGTTCCCATGTTCTCTCTGCAGGTGAAAATCAGCTAGCTCACTCTATACAATTAAATGCAAATAACACAATAGATCTTGTTGCTATAGTATCAGTATTTCATAAAAATAAATGGAGAGTTAGGTGTCTGCGTCCTTCTGTGTAATGATCTCTGCCAGTATGTATCACTTACAAACTAGTTTTCATATGTTAGACTGGCTGAATCCTACTTACAGAAGTCTATTTAGCTGGCATTTTCATCTTTATCCAACATTTATTTCCTGAGGAAGAAACTAATTAATGGAAGTACGTACTTTTTGTGTGGTTC